AAACCTTTTTGGAAATAAAGGAAAACAGGAAGCATCAAAGCCTCATGGGAACATAAGTGGGAGCTCGTTTTCTAGCTGTAGCTCTGATCATCTTCACTTGGGAGATGGAGGTGGAAGAGGGTTTGAACACCCCAAAGAACTTACTTCCACGTAAAACCAAAATGCAGTATAGGAAAGAGAAAAGTCAGACATAATGGTCACCCTCGTTTCTTGGAATTGTCATGGTTTCTACCAAAACCTTGATAAAATCAAAGATTTGATCAATTTGCATCATCCTGTAGTTTTGGCACTGCAGGAAACTATATTGAAACCAGAAAAACATACTAAACTTCGAAGGTTCTATTTTTAGGAAAGACAATCTTATAGGTGAACATGCTTGTGCAGGTGTAAGCCTCCTTGCCTCACAAGATTACCCAAGCAATTCACTTTAAGTACAAGCCTCCAAGCTGTTGCCATCCAAATAAATATAAGGACCTTGGTTTCAGTTTGTTCTGTTTATTTCCCTCCAAATATCTACATTGATCAAAGGGATTTGGATAGTTTAATAGAGTAACTGCCTGAACCTTTTGTCATAATAGGCAGCCATAGTTTGCTTTGGGGGAATAAGGATACTAATCCTCGAGGTAAACAAATCGAGATAATGATTGAAGATCATTCTCTTTGTCTCCTCAATAATGGAGAATATACTTACTTCCATAAACTTACAAGGACTTTTCATGTTTTTGATCTTGTCATCTGTTCACCATCTCTTTTGCCCTTTTGCACCTTTTGTGTTGGAAGCGATCTTTACAACATTTTCCTCTTTTAGTCCCTCTCGCACCACAAGGTACAAACCCCATGTCAAGATCTCCTCGACTGATACTTGAGAGGGCAGACTGGCAGTGCTTCTCAGCTCTTGCAGAGCTCACAGAAGAGATGGTAAAAGATGTGCCAATCGATGATGCAGTGAAAGCCATTACTGATAAAAAAATGCAGGCAGCTATAGCCTCTATACCAATGACATCAGGGAAGTTAAATTTTCAAAGCCATGGTGGAACTGTGAGTGTCAACAAACTCTTAGAGAACAGAGTAAAGCTTGGGGATATTTTCATAGGCATCCCACTTTGTCAAATCTCATAGCCTTCAAATGAAAGAAAGGTAATGCAAGAAGAGTGAGGTGAAAAGCCAGAGGGATTAGTGGATGTCTTATGTGTCTGGAATAACACCCTCTAAAATTGCGAATGCAATTGGTAAGAATTTTGCTGCCGTTTCTAGTGGCAACAATTACCCACCGGCATTTCCTTCTGTTAAATGATGCTCTGAAAAAAACTCCCATTCAGTTCAACTCTCCCATCTTCAAGCCATATAATAGCAAATTTTCCATGTTTGAGCTAAGAAGAGAATCGATGCAGACACACAGATCAAGCACGGGTCCAGATGGTGCCAGTTATCATATGCTGAAGCATCTGTCCTATAAGTCATTGGCTGTCCTTCTCACCCTTTTCAATCAAGTGTGGAAGAAACATTACTTTCCCAGTGCATGGCAGAGAGCTGTTGTCATCCCCATAGCTAAACCAGAGAAAGACCCCAAAAAATCCCTCCAACTACAGGCCAATTGCTCATACAAGTATTTGAAAAAATGTTAAACCGCCGCATAGTCCATTACTTAAAAAAATACAGTTATCTCGCCATGTCAGAGTAGTTTCCACAAAGGTAGAACAACCACAGATAATATGCTCCTTTTGGAAACCTCTATCCGTAAAGCCTTCGTCAAAAGGAACCATTTAGTGTCAATATTTTTTTATATTTAAAATGCTTATGTCAAGGCATGGAGATATGGTATATTATGTGACCTTTACAACAGTGGCTTGTGTGACAACCTGCTAATTTTCATAGGGAATTTCTTGAAGGCTAAGTTTTTTTCAAGAATTGGCACAGTGTTTTCAGATGTATTTTGTCAAGAAGAGGGTGTGCCACAAGGCTGCATTCTTAGTGTTACTCTTTTTAGCATAAGAATGAACTCTGTTTTAAAAGAATTTCCTCCTTCCATTCCAGGTTTACTATATGTTGATAACCTGCAGGTAAGTTGTCATGGTGCAGATATGAGATACAAGGAGAGACAGTTGCAAATTGCTCTAAACAGGATTCAAAAGTGATCGGATAGTGAGGGATTTATATTTTCAAAACAGAAGACCGTTTGCATGCATTTTTGTAAAAAACACAATCTTCATCTTCAAGGCTCTCCGATTCCAGTTGTCCTGAAGTAACGTTTCTAGGGGTAATGTTTGACCATAAGTTTACATTCCTTCACCATATTTTATATTTAAGGAAGAAATGTTTCAAAATAGTAAATCTGCTAAAGGTTTTAGCAAACACCTCCTGGGGTGCAGAATGTTGCTCTCTCCTTCCCATATACAGAACGCTTGTATGCTCCAGATTAGACTACGGCTCAACTGTATATGGATCTGCATGTCCTTCTGTTTTAATAAAACTTGATCCCATCCATCACCAGGCTCTGTGAATTTGTTCTGGAGCCTTTAGGGCATCTCCTATCCACAGCCTATATGCTGATAGCTATGAACCTTCACTTCAGTTAAGGTGAGAGCAATTGTCACTTTGTCAGTATTTCAGTATAATGTTGCAATCGGACTCTCCTCTCCAGATGTATAAACTTGATGACTGTTACAAACTCTTATTTTCTGCACGGCTTCTTAACGTTCTTCCATTCTATTGATGGAAAAATACGGCTTGTCAGATGTAAAAGCCCACACAGTAAAGCATCTTCAAATTGTGTCTTGGGATAGCCGGTAAATTCAATTTCTTGATATTTTCAATCATTTTCATAAGGATAATAGTAGTGAGATTGTATATAGGCAGCCTTTTTCGTGAGTACAAACATGAATATAGCACTTTCACTCCTGTATATACAGATGGTTCCAAGAGAGTTGATCACATAGGAGCATCCTTTGTAATTGGAGACCATACTGAGGGCAAACGACTGCACGATGCTTTCTCTGTATGTAGCGCTGAATTAACTGCTGTTTATCTTACTTTCATATCTAAGTTACAGCAGAAAAAGTTTATTATTTACATAGACTCACCCATGACACATGACACAGACTCACAGATCACGCATGACATTTACACAGACTCAAATGGCTGTGAAATTCTTTACTGCTGAGTCCCTGGGCATACAGGTATAAAAGGAAATGAGCTAGCAGATAGAACAGCAATTTTTACAAAACTTGGCAGTTTGGCATCATTTGAGTCGTAGAATTAAAATTTAGAAAAAAAAAATTGGTATTTCATTTCAGAAAAAGTTTGATTTTGTGTCAAAATACCTATATTAAAACAATGCTATATATAAATCTAATACATATCCTAAGTCGTGCTTTTGAGACATAAAAGTCACAAGTTGGACTTATTCAATCAGCCCAGCAGAACGAGATATATAGAACTGTCCCCCTTTGTTTTTTGGCACAGTGTACACTAGTGACCAAATATAGGTCCCTCTTTCTCAAGAGCATTCTTGAATACCAATGATATGAGATCATTTATTATTAAAAAGGCTGCATTGTATAATATTAGCCATTCTAACTGAAAACTGTCTGAACAAATTTCCCAATAAAAATTTACTCTATGGTACCCCTTGGCGAATCGTTTCTTTTTTTACGCCAAGATCGACGCCAGGAAGGATCGGAACAGATTTCAAGATGGCTGCTACACAAAACCTAAATAAGAAGTCAAAGACTTACACAAACTCGGTGTCCATGTACACATCGACTTAACTTAAAAAAATATCAGAGAATTGTAAAAACTAGGCACTGTGCACTGCCTTAACTTTGTCTATGTACACATCGATGATCTATTTTCACTTAAATAAAATCAGGAAGTTAAAACTATCATGTTAACCAGAAAAAATTCGCCGCTGTCTTAACACACAGAGATGAACAAATAACCAAAGATATACAAACAGAGAGGAATAAATAACCAAAAATACATATTAATTAACATAAAACATTAAAAAACAAATCTTTTAAAAAAATCAACACACAGAGATGAATAAATAAATTAAATGTCATTTTTAACATATCTTTTTTTTCACGTGCGTACGTTTAGATTTCCCACCACCATCCTCCAGGTAAGCAATTCAATTAAATTTTTCATCGTTTTGACTCATCCACTTTTAATCAACAATCATCCTCTTACTCACCTCAGACATACTCAAATGATGGTACCCACAGCAAAATAATAGCAAGTTCAAAATACAAGACCATACCACGCACGTGCAACCAAACACAGCAATTGAAAAGAATAGTATGAACTAAAACCCCGGATCCATACGAAAGGATTACTATTATAAAAAATAGCCAAAACCTAAATGTATCACAATACGTGTGGTGATATTCACAGAAAAACCCCCTTTTTAATGACAAAAACTAAAAACTTGAAAAAAAAAAATTCTCCAAGGCTAGTTTTGCTAACATTTTCAACATTTAGGTTACCAAAAAACCTATTTCATGCAGTCCAGATTTCATGAATAACCAAATACAACTTGGCGATTTTTTCAGACAAAAACCAAGGAATACCCTACAGTAAAGATTAGCTAATTTTGTTTCACATATTTTATTTTTCAAACAGCAGATTTTTTCTATGCCCGTTAATTGATAATAGTCAGATTTCATAAATTAGCTACCCAGATTAGATTATTTTGCAACCTTTAACAACAATTCATTACAAATTATCAATTACACTGCAACAAAAAATTAACTAACTAATCTCAGCAGCTGTATTTAAATTTTCATTTGATAATTAAGATAAGTGACTCATGAAGCATTTACCAGTGTACTGTATTTCATAAGTTTCCATACACTTATTCATATGAAATTCTTGTAAATACATCTGATAATTTTTACTGCCTGCCTTGAGACAACTACTGATTCATACAAATTTCACTGCTAGTTTAGTAAACAACTTTTACACATGACAAATATCTGTAACTATTAAGTAAAAGAATTTACCTCGCAAAAATTGAACCAGTTCTTTGCAGCCTGTTTCCAGCCATATTTATTGAATGACATAAAAGTTACATCTAAATAAAAATAAAAATTAGATAATTAATATATTTAGTATAAAATAATTTTAATTCCATTAATCACATTAGTGATTGTTCAGATACCTATAGTAAGAGTTTATTGAGGACACATATTAAAAAAATTACATTAATGTGTTCCTATCATAAAATTATATGCTCTATACTGACAGTTCATAAACTTAGAATTCAAACCCGCAGCCTTTCATGTGCCCTTTCAGGAATTTGATACCATGCATTACATTGCATGGTATTTTTACAGTATGTTAAGTATGACTGAGATTGCATTAAAAAGAAGAAATAAAATAAATTTATCAAAATTTACAAATTTATTGGATAAAAATATATAGGCAATAAATAGCACAGGTCAAAATTTTCAGAACAAAAGAATAAATTCATTATTTAAAAAACACTATACTATTAAGTAGACAATTTCTCTCCCAGAAATTTCTCTTTACCTTCAATTTCTTAAAACTGCTAGAAGGTACATACAGTTACATAGTGCCAGATATAGTCACAATTACATATGGATCAGATCAGTTACAGTTTTACAGGGATTGGACCAAAATGTCACCAAATGGTCACAAAGCAAGCCTCCTAAACACAAAAGCCCTCCCAACCAAACTGTGACATCACACAAGTTTGGAAAACCATTTGCACCATTTCAAGGACTCACCATGCTCAGTGTCATTTGAATGCTTGGTCATTCAGTCATTATTATCTTCTAGTGCATATTTGTGCTTTTGGTAGTTATTTTGCATTGTGGTAGTTGTTTGAATATCAATAACTTTATAATTCTCTCCAATTATTTTAGCCAAAAATGGTGAATACATGCAGTACTCCCCATTATAAGGTTAATTACCCAAATGGCCCAGTTGCATCTGTGTTTACCTTTCTAAAATGTCCTGAACTGAAAGAAAAATGGTTAGCAAAGATACCCAGTGATTTCTGAGTCATGACCTTGTTCTATAGAAAAGTTTGAATTTTATTTTTAAAAATGTTTTATTTTACTTTCAAAAGTAAGCTGGTATTAGTTTTGAATTGCTACTATATTTTAAGTAATGATTAAATGAGTAAACAATTCCGATTTAATGATATATAATTAATGCTTTGGCATAACAAATTATTACTTATTCAAAAATGTTACAAGAATAATAAGTAATTTAAATTAGTTTTTACTTATACAGTCAAAAGTCGTTAATCCGGACTCGTCGGGACTTCGGCGATTCCGGATTATAGATCATCAGTTTAAATCTCGTAAGGCATGCAGAAATTCTAAAATTAAAAATATGAAACCGTAATTTATGAAATAAAGAACAATTATGATCTAAAGGGTATCAAAATTTACAAAAAAAAAAAAAAGCTTAATATTTATTTGTTTACTTTATTAAACATTTCTTTCAATGTAAGTTGTTTAAGTTGCTTCATTTTTATGTGATACTAATACTTTCTCTTTAATTCTATAAACAGACATAATTTCTTGTTCAGTTACAAAGTTCCGCTGTTCAAGTCCCGTTAATTGCTGTGCCGAGAATACCGACTAACTTGGTCAATCGAAATTTTTTCGTTTTCACTAACCTCTCTGTCACATTCTTCATGTCTTTATCCATTTTTTTGCAGCAATTCCACTTTTTGTTTGTTGGACATCGAAACATACTTTCGTTTTGTAGATCCTTTGGAAAATTCCAGTTCCAGCATCGGAAATTCTATTTGACATAATCGAAAGTTCAAGTTTACTTTTATAAAATTGCTCTTACAGTCTGCAAAAAATAATAAGCGGGATCCAATTCGAAGATTAAGGAACAACGCAATCATTAACATTAACTGAAATAGATAATTAGATAATTTTAGCTTACACCGTCCGTTATACATTAAACGCGCAGGCGAAAACGTATTCTGCGCTTGCGCACACGCATATGCGCAGTAGTCAAGGTCTTACGCGCACGCGTAAAACGCCTGTGCGCATGTGCCAATGCGGCGCATGCGCAGAAAGTTTTTAGCTTTGAGGTCCGGATTATGGGTGTCCGAATTAACGACTTTTGACTGTATTTCTTAGTCTTAAATTAAAACTTAGTTTCACTAAGGTCAGTTTATGATAAATGTACAGTAATTATAATCAAAAGAATGAAATCTGTATTTGAAAATACATCTGTTTTATGTGACTAGATACACTCGATCTAAAAATGCCATATTTTATAAGAAATAAATCACTGATGTAATTTATATAGTTTTATACAAAAGTTAAGATAATTTATCCCAGAAAAGAGTAAAAGTTCAGATAATTTATCCCTCAACTTTTGCATTAAAAATAAATATATTTAAATAGTTTTACCAAGAGGTAAACTACTTAAATCATTCAATTCACATCTCCTCATTGTTCCCTTCAGAGATTTTGCATCAAAATTCAGGGTTCCTCAAGAAATTTCATTGCAGTTACTTCCATTGCTGACAAATTCCACAGCATATATTTTAAAATTAAGTTTGAAGCATAAAATATCATAATTTGTTTATAAAAGTTGATGGAAGGCAACAAAATGAACGCATGTGAAAATGGCGAGATTGCTTGTAATATAGTTATGAACATGTTTGTGCTGCTCGACTTGTAATATACGAGGGTTGGAACTTTAATAGTGGCAACTATTTATTTACAAGGAATACAAAAGTGATTCATGTCACCATGTTTTACAGTCCTTCAATATAGTCGCCAGCATTGTGTACAACCCGTTTCCAACGATGTGGAAGTCGCAGAATACCTGTAGCAGCGCCTGTTTTGTTGATAGTTTGAATGGACCGGTCTACTGCCGCAAGAATCTCAGGAACAGTTTGGAAGCGAGTGCCACGAAGTGGTTCCTTCATCTTAGGAATTAAGTCATAGTCACAAGGGCTTAGATCTGGGGAGTATGGTGGATGGTAAAGCACTTCCCAGCCCCATCGCTTGAACAAATCAGTCACAGCTTGCGCTGCATGCGGCCGAGCATTGTCATGCAAAATGAGAGGAGCGTTCTGCAGAAAGTGTCGCCGTTTTTTTCTCAAAGCTGGTCGGAGATTGTGCTCCAAAAATGAGCAGTAATACTGCGCAGTGACGGTCTGCTGTGGGGGAACGGTATGCGTTAGGATGACACCATCACAGTCGTACACGAGAATCACCATAACTTTCACATTGCTGGGGTTCTGACGAAATTTCGAACGTCGTGGTGACCCGTGATGACGCCATTCGTTTGATTGCCGTTTCAGTTCTGGCTGGTACGATCGGGTCCAAGTTTCATCCAGCGTAAAAAAGCATCTCCTTCGCGCTCCAGGTGGGTTCGGGCAGCATCGTATCGTAGCCATTTCTGCATTTCCGTCAATTGATGTGGAACCCATCGTGAAGCAATTTTTCTCATGGACAGGCGTTCCTTCAGAATGTACAGCACAGTCGTATGCGCTAATCCTGTTTGTCCGGCCAGCTGACGAATCGTTTGGCGGCGATCACTGTCCATTAGTGCGGCAACAGCTTGCACGTCTGCATCGCTGACACTCGGACGACCTGGCCGCAGCATGTCTGCCACATTTTGGCGTACTTCATTGAATGCTTTCACCCATCTTGCTACGGTTCTGTAAGGCAATGCAGATTCCCTGCAAGCCTCTTGAAGCCCTTGATGACACTGTCGTGCTGTACGACCTCTTGCACATTCAATTTTTATCCAACATCGTTGTTCTTGTTTTGAAAACATCCTGACAACACTTACTTTAGACCGCGAGCTAATACAAGGATCCGTTCTTTGCGTCACTCCGCATGCGCGTGACGTAGACAGGACGAGTCTTTTTACTGAGAGGTAAGGTAGGTATGTAGTTCACGTATGGTATACGCGATATTCTTTGGTTTTGTTGCGTAGCGTTTTTTCAGCTGTGTTCCACTTATTCAACCCCTAAAAAATTAATGTCCAATTCGATATTTTTTTTCTTATCCAATGGCTAGAAATTAAAATTAATATGAAACCGTAATTTAGAAATAAGAACAATTATGATTAAAGGGTATCAAAATTTACAAAAAAAAGCTTAATATTTGTTTACTTTATTAAACATTTCTTTCAATGTAAGTTGTTTAAGTTGCTTCATTTTTATGTTATAATACATTCTCTTTAATTCTATAAACAGACATAATTTCTTGTTCAGTTACAAAGTTCCGCTGTTCAAGTGATATAATTGCTGTGTCCGAATACCGACTAACTTTGTCAATCGAAATGTTTTTCGTTTTTAATAAACCTCTGTCACTTTCTTCGCTATTGGAAACAATTATAATGACGAGGCATTGATTTAAATCATATCAAAGATGGAGTACATTGAGATGAAATACTACATTTAGTAAGCAATTATAAGCCAAATAAAATAAACAATCTGCCCTTAAGATAAGGATAGTGCTTGACAGATCAACTTCCAATTCAATGCACGCAGCCGACGATTAAAGCCCCCCATCGTTGCAGAGCAAACGTTAAAGTTTAGATAAACTTTATCCATTTTCAGGAATTTTTTTGTTTAACAAAAAAGATACTTTCCCTTTGTATATCCTTTACATATTAGTAAATATATATCGGAAATTCTATTTGACATAATCGAAAGTTCAAGCTTACTTTTATAAAATTGCTCTAACAGTCTGCAAAAAATAATAATCCGGATCCAATTCGAAGATTAAGGACAACGCAATCTGCAACATTCTGATTATAATTTTAGCTTAGCTTATCGCTGTTTCTTAAGCGCATGCGTAAACTATTATGCTTGCGCCATTCGCGCGAAGGTTACGGCAATCGCGCGACGCAAAGTTTAGTTTAGTCCGGTTTGGGGCCATAACGACTTTTCTGTCTTTTGTGTTTAATTTTTAAAATTAACTTTAATATTTTGTTAATATTCATATTTATATTTCTTTTATGCTGAATGGCAACTAGTTCTAGTTCTGATTCATGATTGCTAGGTTTTGGTTTCAAAACGTTGCTCGTAGCGTCGCATTTCGATAGCTGGAAAAT